TCCAGTTGTCCTGATGTACTAGCATGCACATTCAAAACAAAGAGAAAATGCCAATAAAAAACATCACCTCACCTCATCCCGCCATGTTTTTCTTGCTCTCCGCAGGTATTTTTAAAAGAAACGTTGTTCTTTACGGGTATGAAACTGATAAATGTAAGATACGGACTGAGATTGGTTTTGTTGCGCCAAAGGAGAGAACGTGCGACAGCTACTGCTTTTGGGGAATGACAGATTCTCAGTTCATGGCCTCCGTTGCTTTCTGTGAACTTCTTGGAACTCAGGAACCGCTGCCGATGGCCTCTCAAACTACACCTGTCTGCTGACGGCACTTGCCAGTCATCCGTGTAAATAATTTAACCGTGAAATTGAGCATGTCTTGCAGTATAACAACACCCCAGGATGACAAGAGGACGTTTTCCTTTCTTTACACATCCTGCCCTCCCTAACATCCCCTCAAACCTACAAACCCATCCTTTCTGACCAGCTATGAAAGCTATGAACGCAGATATACTGTACACTATTAACATTTGGTATGCTCTGCTACATTTTGGGAATTATGATGGACTCATGTTCCATTTTAGGTCTTGTATTAGCAGTATTTTTTGTTGATCATTAAAACGTGTTCAATGAGTGACATTTAATAAACATTCACAGTTTCTAACATACTCGCTTACGGTGTGACTGGAGCATTTCCTCTGACATAAAAAGTGAACTAATTCCACCTTAGCAGTTTGGGAGTGAATGTCAGCTGAGGTCAGCTCATTAGCTGGTAATTGACTAGGTAGGCCAAGAATAGATCCCTAGGTAAAGCTTTTTTATGTGAATATTGTGACTATCGCATTTGCCTTGCTTTTAAATATTTGCAAATGTGCCAATCTCAGGCCTAGATGGCATAATGAGGCTCTCAAGTGATGAATGTTTCAGGAATGTCGTGAAAATGCATGACACTAAATGGAGGACAGGAGAGATTTTGCCTTTTATCGTGACTCTCCTTGATTAAGATGATGGAGAGGAAAAATTATTAATATCCAGCAATCATGCAACATTCATTTTCATGAGATGACAGCAGACTCCTTTTTTAACATTATTTTTTATTTCCTAATATAACTACATAAATCCGGAAATATAATAAGACTGGATTTAAATGTTACAGGAGTTTGCATTGTTTAAGGCACTTTTCATGAATTTTGTGTCCCATTATAAAGCATTAGTGACTCAAATGGTGGCATGTTTGTATTAGGTGTGCTTGATGTTGCTATTAAGTAACAAAAAATTAACCTACCATGAAACGTAACCAGCAAGTAGTGTAAAATAAGCTAAACTGTCACATTTTTGGGATTTTCAGATATTGGCCTTTTTGATTGTATTCAACAATTAGTTGATATTCAAGTCGCTGTTAAATTATTTAAAATTATATTTCTTAAAATTGTGACACCACTAGGACCGTGTTACTGTGTATTATTTAGTTCACCCTTCTAACACAATTCGTGGAAAGTCCCTTAGTAATAGAACAATAATTTCCGAAAAGGTTACTAGCTCTGCAAAAGGGACATTTCACACCAAATTCTATTAAAATTGAAGAGCGTCTGCCAATACATCTTGTAAAACAATAATAGCAAAAACTTTATTGCAACAGCACTAAAAAAATCCAATATGCAAAGGTTTTACTCGTTTGATTCATTTTTCATCTCTATTCATGCTTTTTAATGGTTATAAAATATTGATTTACTATCCTCAACTGTTCAAAAGTTTAATGCAGATTTATTTTCACAGCCTTCTTTGATCATATTTACCAAGGGTGCCAATAATTCTGACCACGACTGTAAAAGAAGTCTCTTTTATACTAACCAAAGCTGCATTTATCTGACCAAAAATGCAGTTAAAATTGTGAAGTATTATTACATTTTAAAATAACTGTTTTATATTGTAATATATTTCAAAATGTAATTTCTTCCTTTGATGCAAAGCTGAATTGTCAGTATCCAAATCTTCAGTCACATGATCCTTCAGAAATCATTCTATTATGCTGATTTGCTGCTCTGTTATTAATAATGGTTCTTATTATTATCAAATTTGAAAACATTTTAAATGGTAACAATATTTCACAATATTATATAATACGTAATCATGTATACACACACACACACACACACACACACATGACTGTTTGTGAGATTCAATCATGTATTTTCTATTATGTGTGGTAAAGAATGACTCTGCAGATCTGGCTTCCAAGAACAGTTGCAGTATCTGTGTTTCAGGAAGTGTTAGAATGATGTGCATCTACTCAGCAGAACTCAGGATCAAAACCAAGTGAGGGATGCATCAGAAGCGAGAGGTGTGCTGATGGAACGCTTCAAATATTCAACACTCAGCAAGTCATAAACACATCTGGCTCCTTATCTCCGTTCCCCAATATCCTTAACACCCAAACTTGTCTTCCACCCAGACAGATTTACAGAAGATGCTGCCCTATACCTCGCCTCTTTGTTTCCAGCACACACAACACCGTTTGGGGCCTCCCGAACAGCCCGATCGATAAGGCCCATCGCATTTTAAGCTTTTGCATCATGAGGTTTCTGTATTATTGAATTGCATCTTCTCACAGTGATTCATGAGGGTACAGACATCTTCTTTTTCCACAGAAAGCTCTCGGGCCCCTCACCAGCCACCTGCTGCAGTCATTTTGATGCACTGGTCCCTCATGTGATTGCTGTTTAATGAAAAACAGGCCAGCATAGCCCTGCTCTCCTATTACAGAGTAATTGATTTGAGGTGAAGAATGTCCCTTGTAGAGGTGAATAGTTTTACCCAAGTCATTAATCCCTTCAACCAGATATTGAAACCCCACTGACTGCTCTCTTTAGCAAAAATTATCTCCCTTGCTCTCTTTCCCTCACTCTCTTATAATCTAATCAGCTGTCTTCTGATTTGGCTCAGTTTAGACAGTATGTATCATCACATTATGTTTTACTGACCATCATTCACTCATCATTTATCAGCAATTATTTGCGGCTTTAGAAATGAATATTTGGTAACGCAGTGACATTTACAGGTTTAAGAGAAAAAATACTTCTGGCACCCACTGTACAGTAAGGAAATGTGACCGTAAATGACTTTCTGTGCAGCTTGCTATTTGAATGGGAGATTCCTGTTTGAGTAGTGAGCAAATGTAAGGGTCTTCTGAGGGTTTTTCCACTATCTCTTGAAATGAAATGATGCTCATATGATTAACAAGATCAATAGTATATTCTCTAGGCGAGTGGATGGTGCTTAAGTGAAGCATTAAGTCTTTAGGACAATTATATAGGCAAATATTCCAAGCGTGAAGGTCAGAGATTCAAACGAGATGAGTTCTACAGAGAATAAATGACACAGCAGAGTGTCACTGTATGGTTTCTGTGTTATTCATCACCAGAAGAACAAAATCTAATTAAATGAAAAAGTTCACTGGTTTGCACAAAAGCTTGAGTTTATTGAGTAGTATAAAATGTTAATACTTTAAGGATCAATATATTTTACTGTTATCATTATATCAGGAACTGTCACTTTTAAGTAATAGCATAATACTTGTTTTTTTTTCTCACTCTCTCTCTCTCTTTTATGGTTCCATAATTTATGACGTGTCCGACACGCCACTTTCATGATTAACAGAGACGGGTGAGCATGAAAAATAAAAACAGCCGTGAAACGTGTCCACCACATTGGAACCGCAGGTAGTTTTTCAAACTGGGACTTTCCGTGTTGACGGATATGACGGCCAAATTCGGAGAAAGCGAGAGAGGGAGAGAGAGAGAGAGAGAGAGGGGTTGCGGCTCTACACCTAGTGAGCTGCCTGTATAAAATGTTAATACTTTAAGGATCAATATATTTTACTGTTATCATTATATCAGGAACTGTCACTTTTAAGTAATAGCATAATACTTGTTTTTTTTTCTCACTCTCTCTCTCTCTTTTATGGTTCCATAATTTATGACGTGTCCGACACGCCACTTTCATGATTAACAGAGACGGGTGAGCATGAAAAATAAAAACAGCCGTGAAACGTGTCCACCACATTGGAACCGCAGGTAGTTTTTCAAACTGGGACTTTCCGTGTTGACGGATATGACGGCCAAATTCGGAGAAAGCGAGAGAGGGAGAGAGAGAGAGAGAGAGAGGGGTTGCGGCTCTACACCTAGTGAGCTGCCTACCTAGTCAGCACCTTTGGGCATCGTCGGCGCTATCCTAAATGGCAGTATTGTAGTAACGGGGAAAACAGATTAATTTTCGTGAATCGGTTCTCGGCTCATAAGGTTTTGGTTCACAGAGTTCGGATTACTCAGAATGCATGGCATTTAGTGAAACTGATTCATTGCAAATATAATTTCACATACATATTTATTCACGAATTCTTTAGGAAAGGAGCCTATAGTGGCTTCACTTTAGGACCTGTTTTTGCACTACTTTTTATGTAGGCTATTTATTATCTTGTCAGGTCAGACTTTGGCCGCAGCGTCGAGTCTGGCTGTCGCCATAACGACGTTTTAAACAGATGAAAAATAGTTCAGTTAAACAAAACCCCCTGGAGGTCGCTTCTATTTGTTTTTGAGCATAACGCGCGTTGTACGTGAACTCTCTGTAGGCGGGGCCGAGCTAATGAGCTGCTTACCTAGACAGCATTCTGCTTTTGTTTTAGTGCCCTCACTAGGTTTTCAGACAGAACCACAGTGAAACGTGTTTCTATCACGTTCACTTAGCCTATAATTTAACAATAACGCCACACCTTTTTTCTTTCTCTTATTATTTAGTAGCCTTTTCCACTAATTATTATTAGCAAGATCCGTAACAATGTGCCTGATAAGTGGGCGGAAAAACAGCGCAATAATATTTCCGGGTGTTTGAAGAGGGGGAACCCCGTGGTGTTTTTCTACCGTGGGTATATCACGAACAAGTCAAAAGCATTTATTATTATGCCATCATAACCTGCTGCTGGTACAGACACTTTATCAAAAACCTCAATGGCTTCTGGATCAGCGGTTTCAGACCCGTCGTTAAACGGGGTTTCGTCCACACCGGGTGAGAACGAGTACCCGTCGGGTTTCCCTCAGAGCATCTGCGATGAAGTCCCGAAGGAGAAGTACTTATGCAGCAACTGTAATAATGTCTTGAATAAAGCGCGTCAAACGGTGTGCGGTCACCGCTACTGCCTCGCGTGCGTGAACTGGCTGGTCAGGTAAGAGAATGAGAAGCGTTCAAGTAGAACAGCCGCAGTTTCATGACAACACACAGGACATGGTTGGCAAGGCATTATTTTCGGTCTTGATAGCAATTGTATGTTATGGTAAATTTATGGTAAAATTGTGGCTTATAATCACAGTGCGATGAATAGCTACCAAAATATAGAAACACCACATGAAATTTAAAAAAGGTGTATAGACGCTGATGTATGTAGACTATATATATATACTGAATTATGTATTTATTTATAGCATGGGAAATGTTTTTTGTTTTTTTTTACTTCACAGGACATGATGTGAAGATCACACATGTGAGCCACTTCCTGAGCCATCAGATAAAGTCTAGCACTTTCCACTGTAGTTCAGATTAGAACATTGAGCTAATAAATGTAAGACCAGAGATCAGGGCTGTTCACGGGCTGCTACACATTCATGTAAAACCTATAAAGCTATTGAGAACACTGTAATGCTCTCAAATGTCTTTACACTTGACTGAGTCAAAAATCAATGTGGATTATGGGGTTTGTATCGATCACATTAGCAACCATGGCTTTTCTGTTATCACATTGTTAAATCATAGGAACTCATTAAAAAATAGCTGCATTTCATGGCAGGCAGTCATACTCGGTTACAACCACAAGATGCTATTTTACGGGAATCCTAACATGGTAGCTTTGTGGTCATTTCATAACATGAACCAGCCATTAAGGTATTAATCATAGAGCTGTTGTGCAGATGCTGTCCAGTGTAGTGAATCAGTCGTAACAAATTGAGTAGTAACAAACTCATACTTTAGGATTTGAAAAGCCTCTACAACTTTTAGAGGTCAGTGTTTTGTCGAGTAAAATGTTCTATGACTTTGACCCTCATGGCTGCCTAATGGAAGTCTTTTATGTTTTTACCTTCTTTCTGTACTCAAGAGAGTCTGAAAGCCTTTTGAGAATATCGTATTATTCCCTATTACAATAGAAACATGTAGGCTGGGCTTTAGATTTTATGTTTTTCAGCGGAAACTATATGATCAAAAGCATAAGTTTTAGAGGTCAAGTGTATAGAAATAAAGTATCATTATGTAATTTGTAGTAATCAATGATCATACTTGCTTAGTGGAGTAGTTCACCCAAAAATAAAATAATTTGTCATTACTTACTCACCCTCATGTTGTTCCAGATCCATACGCTGTTATTTTTTGCACTAGAAAACAAACTGAGATGTTTTGAAGAATCTTCATACAGCTTTTTTCATACAATGACAGTTCATAGTGAGCGACAGGCTCTAAACCTGGCAAAACACCATTACTAAAGCAGAAAAATAAGTCTTTTAAAGACAAACAGACCCAAAAATATTTACTAAAATTGAACTGGTATGGTGCTTTTTTCCTGGATAGGCATTTTTTGGATACTCATTATGAACTGTCCTTGCATGCAAAAGAGCTGCTGAAGATTCTTGGATGACAAAAGTCTTTTGTTTTTCTAAGAAAAAAACCATACAGATGTGACATGAGATTAAATAGATTTTCATGTTTTATTTGAATTATCCCTTTAATATGCTCAATGACTCATTCAACAGGACCATCAGAGTCAGTGTGAATATGCCCTGATCCCTTGCAACATTGGCTGTGGCTTAATGGTGCAGAGGAAATCACTGGCTACACATCTGGAGGGAGGCTGTCCCAACAACAAGACCACATGTCCCTCTTGTTCAGGTGTCCTGACACTGAGAGAACTCCAGGTAGGGTCAGAAAATGACACTTTAGAGACTGCAAAATATTATTTTCCGAATCAGTATTTTTGCATTGTTTATCTAGTAAAATATCTAAATGAATTTTTATCCTTTAAACAAGATACGTTTTAGAAGCAAAATTATATAAGAAATTCAGAATTAAAATTTTATTTTTCTTTTACTTTTTGTTTGTTTGTTTGTTTGTTTTGAACAGACAACAGTTTGTTTCGTTGAAATATCTAAATGAATTTTTATCCTTTAAACAAGATACGTTTTAGAAGCAAAATTATATAAGAAATTCAGAATTACTTTTACTTTTTGTTTGTTTGTTTGTTTGTTTTGAACAGACAACAGTTTGTTTCGTTTGGTCAGATTTATTCTTCAAACTTAATAAAAATAAACGTAATTCATATCATATATATTTTCCATGAACACAAGACTGTCATACACATATTTTGCTTCTCAGTGGAATTTTTAAGTATGTACCTACATACAAACAATATATTTGTGCAAATCACATATAAATGTACAGTATGATACATGGGTGATATTTTGTGAATAGGCCCATAGTGCAAGATATTCGGCCTCTTTCGTTGTTGCTAAAGTGGTTTTGGGTCAGCGTGCCCTTGCTTGAAGCCCCATGGCTCGGTTTTAAGCCACAGATGGAGTCTCCAGTGTTTACTGCTGTCCCATATTACTTTCTTTTCCATTTCACCCATCGGGACATGGATTAGAGGAATAAAAAGAAGGGGGAAAAAAAAGCAGCAATCCAGTGAATTTAAACATCAATCATCAAACGCAACACATTAGTCAAGATATCTTCAAATGCAATGTGTTTCACGCTTCAAATTAAGATAAAAAGTCTCAATGAGATGTTTTGGAAAGTTTGTGGCACAAAATTATTTGAGCAAAACTTTCATCACTGTTGTTAGTGAAAGTGACATTTCCTAATTTTTTCACAGAAGCATGTTTGTCCCAATTCAGGTGATAAGAAGACGACGAAGACAGATAAACGACAAAAGGTAGAAAAGCTGGTGGATCACTGAATATTGTACCCTGAAAGTGAATGTACAAACAAGAACAATTCTAAAGTATGATACTGTGTTTCCTTTATAGAATAATCACCCAGGCAGCTCAAAAAAGAAGGAGCCATGCATTTTCTCAGACGTTGGTTGTCCTTTTAAGGTTGGTATTTTAATAACAGTACCTGTTTATGTTAATCATGATGTATTATATAGTTTTGTGGAACAGAGTTTTATGTTGAGCAGAAACTTTTAGATTCTTGAGCCACGTTTTTAAAAACAAATGGTCTACAGAAAATTTGAGAGGATAATTTTTAAAATTAAAATATTAAAAGTATTAAAAAAATTTTTATTTCTAAATGTTCATTTGGGTTGTATGGCTGTTTGGAACAATATTTATTGTGAAAAGCACTTGTAAATACTAGTGCTGTCAAACGATTAATCGCATCCAAAATAAAAGTTTTTGTTTACATAATATATGTGTGTGTGCTGTGTATATTTATTATGTATATATAAATACACACACATGAATGTATACATTTCAGAAAAATGTTATGTTTATATATTAAATAAGATTTATATATACCATAAATTATATTAATATAAATATATACATGTAAATACGTGTAAATATTTTCAAAATATATACTGTATGTGTGTGTATTTATATATACATAATAAATATACACAGTACACACACATATTATGTAAACAAAAACTTTTATTTTGGATGCGATTAATCGCGATTAATCATTTGACAGCACTAAAAATACATTTAAATTTATCTTAATTTTTTTCTCTAATATTCTAATATTAGCTAGACAGAGAAAACAAATATTTTGCAGGAAAAAAGAAAAAGGAAAAATGCTCCAAATTTAAAGGGAATCATTTTCAGGAATTCACAGAATTAAAAAAAAAAAAGGTTTGAAAAAAATCATAGAAAAATCACAGAAAATAATCATGTACTATACTTTTTTTTATTATAAAAATAATATTTTTCTGTTTTTTCCTGTATACATTTTGTTTAGCTTTTTAAAAATTGCTTAAAATTTTGCTTGAAAAATAAACAAACAAAAATCATTAATGGTGTAACAAAAAAAAATACAATAAATAAATAAAATAATATTCTCTGAAAACCAGTCTCATTACAATGTCATTGCAATTGAGAAAGTAGTGTTTTATGGGAATTTTACAGTTTTGCTGCAACATTTTATTTTCAGGGCAATGCAGACAAAGTAAAAGAACATGAATCCTGCAGCCATGTTGGCCATCTACAGCTTCTCTTGGATGTGACCAGAGCTCTTCAGCGTACCTTGAATTCTTCAGCTGAGCAAAGCCACCATGAAAGCCCTGATCTTCTTCTGCCTGGACAGTGTGGTGCTTCCCACATTGAGGGTGAGATTGAGACCGACGGAGGGGATCCAGGAGTGAGTGATAAGGCCCTCAGTCTCCACGATGATCAGGCTGAACTTGCTGTAGGCCAGCAACTGGACGCTCTACAGCAGAGAGTGCAGGTTATGGAGAACATCATCTCAGCTTTGAACCGAGAGGTGGAGAAGACGCAGATCAGTGTGCTTGTGCTGGAGAGGGACAATTACAACAGTCAGCATCTCATTCAGCACTTGGAAACCAAGGTAAATTATAAAATAAATCTGTGTCATGACACTAATGGTGTGGGAATTTCAACTTTAAATGGAATTAAATGGGAACTAGGGAACTTTTAGACACTGTACAGATGATGAAATTACATAGCGGTGGTGCTGCCACACTGATGCTCACATGCAAATTTTCTGCTAATATCCTGTCGATCATGTCCACCAGTTTGAACATTAGAATTGCAATGAAGTTGCACGCCTTGTCAGAAAGGCTTAGGAAAAAAAAAAGTTTTTTTTTCTGATTCCTTCTTGAATTGCTTTTGAAATAGTCTTTTGGTGATAGTCTCAAATAAATAGAATAACAGGAAGAAATATTTACCGAATTGCGGTCAAACACGTTTAATTTTAAATAATTATGCCTGATTGTTTATTCTGTGTTTGTAGAAACGTTTTTTCCTAACTTAATAGGTATATACTACTGTTCAAAGGTCTGTACGATTTCTAAATGTTGTTTTTTTATATATATATATATATTTATGGAAACTGTGATAATTTTTTTCAGGATTCTTTGATGAATAGAAAGTTCAAAAGAACAGCATTTATTTTTATTTTTTTACTTGTCACTTTTGATCAATTTAATGCATCCTTGATGAAAAAAGTATTAATTAAAAAACAAACAAAAAAAAACTTACTGACCCAAATATTTTGAACAAAAGTGAATTTCACAAAACAAAGTTCAACATTATGTAAATAATTCATAATAATTCATCCATAAATCCATCACATTATCTCCAATATTCAAAATTTAAATTAACTGATAATGAAATATAGCAGGTTTATTTATTAAATGAAATGAATATAAATTAAATGCAAATTGTGCTTTTCAAACATCAGTTAAACATCATTAATTTCACATAATGTTTCTTGAAATGTGTGTATGATAACATGTTTATGGTTAATTCATACTGAAGATGACCTGTATTATTAAAAGCTACACTTACAGCAGATATATTAATTTCACTTCATTTTAATTCTATCTAAATTCTAAATCAAATTACAACTGTGCATCCTGCTGCCTCATTTCAAATATCAGGAATTCAGTGCAGTTCTGAACGGTGCACAACCCTGATATCACATTATTTCCATCCTGGATTATTAAAATCAAAGCACATGCTTTTCACTGTGTAAATAGCAACAACAGATTTCATTACTTTGATGTGTCCTTGCAGTTTACTAGGCATTGATCTCATGCTGTGAATCTGCAATATGGTTGGAGCTAATGAATGTGTTTGTGTTACAAAAGAGCAGAAATGCTATATAGGAATCTTTGGAAAACATTTGTTTCCTGTGATGTGTTTTTTGTTTGTAGCCGCTGGGTTGCATAATTCATGCTTTAAATAAGGACTCACATAAAACTAACAAAGGTATTCTTTTGGGGAGGTCTGAAATGATCATTTATTTGTCCCTATGCTCATCTTAACACCGGGAGGTGATAACAAATGATTATGGCTGTGTTCTGACACTCGACCTGGAGGGGTTATTTAACACAGGGAACCGAGATGACACTCCTGAAATGCTGAAAATGAAGAGATAAGTTGAAGTAAGGATGAGAAGGGAATGAGTGGTAGAAAATAGATTTGTGTGACAATTCTCCAAGTGCGGTTAAGAAAAAAAAAAGCATGTGTCTAATAGGATGTCGCCATCTCGTTCATTTTCTGTATTTTGAAGTGTCTCACACAAGGCTGTCGACCTTAACCAGCTCTGAAGGTCCATTATGATACATTAATATTGCGCTTTTGCAGTGAGCCAATCTGTACCTTTGGGTGATTCATCCATGATAATGGTTTTCCATCACATTCTAGGTAGCGGAACAGCTGCAGAGACTGGTCAGGAAAGACATTCACATCACTTCATTGCAGCAGTGTATCAGCGCCCAGCAGGACATCTCATATGATGGCACCTTTCTCTGGCGGTTGTGTGATGTCAGCCAGAAACTGAGAGAGGCTGCCACCGGCCAAAAGATCAGTCAGTACTCGCCAGGTATCAAAGCACATATCTCTCCTGTACTGCTCTGAAAGGCAGAGTTCTCTAAAAATAAACATTCTGTCATTTACTCTCATTTACTCTGTTATCATTCATCCTCATGCCATTCTAGACCTGTATGACTGACTTTCTTCTTGAACTCTCTTAACTAGACTTTCTTCTTTCTACAACCTGAATCTGGAAAGAAGAAAGTCAGTCATAAAAGTATAGAATGGCATGAGGGTAAATGATGACAGAGTAAAATCCCTCTCTCTCTATCTAGTATATACTGTATATATATATATATATATATAATTTTTTTTTTCTGTTTTGTAACATACCAAGACTGAAGGATTATTTATATAATTTTTTTTTTCTTTTTTGTAACATACCAAGACTGAAGGATTATTTTATGTTTCTGTTATTTATAGTCTTGTTGTGTTACAAATTTAATATAAATGAGATTCTATACATTAGATTTTTAGATTATATATATATTTAATATATATTATGTATATACATTCATCTTCCAGATCTATCTATCTATCTATCTATCTATCTATGTCTGTCTGTCTGTCTGTCTGTCTTGTCTGTCTATCTTGTCTGTCTCGTCTGTCTATCTTGTCTGTCTGTCTGTCTGTCTGTCTATCTATCTTGTCTGTCTATCTATCTATCTTGTCTGTCTGTCTGTTTATCTATCTTGTCTGTCTGTCTATCTATCTATCTTGTCTGTCTGTCTGTCTGTCTATCTTGTCTGTCTATCTATCTATCTATCTATCTATCTTGTCTGTCTGTCTATCTTGTCTGTCTGTCTATCTATCTTGTCTGTATAAGAAACTTGCTTTCAAAATATATAAAATGTATATATAAAAATTGTGCGTTTATGCACACACACACACACACAAACGTGTGTATGTGTGTGTACTTGTTTATGCTACATTGAGGGGACCAAATGCCCCCTCAAGAATAGTAAAACCTGAAATTTTTGACATTGTGATAAAAAATATTAACAAATAAAATTTATTAAAAATAGTAAATTATGTTTATCTGAAAGTGTAACAATGCAAACAGGATTTCTTTAAGGGGTAGTTTTAGGGTTAGGGGATAGAAAATATTGTTTGGTCAGTATAAAAGTAACAGAGGTCTATGGAAAGTCCCCACAATTCACAGAAACAAACGTGTGTGTGTGTGTGTGTGTGTGTGTATTGAAAGAAACCTTCTGTCTATCGTATTAAAATATTCCAGCACTAAAAGATTATGGTGACTTGATGTTGATTCAGTTAACACTCTGAATGGATTCAGTGAGTCATTCAGTAATGGATTTAGTGAGTTCATTAAGCAACAGATCCATCAGACTGATTCAAATGGTAATTCCTGAGTTAGTGAGTCTTCTAGAGTGATTCATTCAAAGAACTGGCTCATAAGAATCATTTGTTTGTGAATTGAACTACACTGGTTGTGCTGTGTGTTTTTGGTTCAATAAAGGGAACTGGTTTAAAAGAATAATTTTTTTAGGAATTAGGGCTACACTAGTTGTGCTGCATATCAGGCTGTTGTTTTACCTGTAACCAAGATAAATGTTGACTAAGGGCTGCCCATATGATCTGTGCATCATATTCTAAATCATATGATGGTTTGTGTGGGGAACAGGCCACCTTGTGATTCTGAAAAATCTTGGTCCCCTGGGCCTTATTTTTCTAAGCATGTTCAATTTGCAGTTTCAGTTGACGTAATCAATATATTATTGACAAACACTTCTCACTATTGTGCCGAAGCAAAACAGTTTTGCCAGCACTGAATACTTTAATGCATTGGACTGGACTATACATATAAATAATACTCAGATATACTAAATATACTATATAAATAATACTAAAATAACTGTCCCTAAGTCCTGATTGATTAAAATGCTGTTCACATGTGGAACTTGTCCTGCTTCTGTCTTGCAGTGATTATCATTGTAAAATGAGCATCAGTATGTTCTTCTCAAGAGGGCCGAACACTTGAAGTGAGCACTCAGAAGTGAGCACTGAAGGCGTTACCATCTCATGTGTGCGTGTTTAGTACACGTAATATGAAGACATATGTCAGAAAAGCAGAAAAAAGTCCTGTTTTATAGTTGGTAATACTTTTTGAGCCAAATTAAAAAAAAAAGTTAAATGCATTTCAGTCTGATTCTAGCAATTTGAGCGGCACATTTTAGTTTAGATTGCTTTGATTCTGCTATTGAAGGCAGTTAAAAACACTAAAAACACACATTTTTCGCATTCAATTTCACATTAAAGAAAGCATTTAGATAGAATTGTTAAAGACAATGCAGCAAAAAGCAGGTCATTACATTCAAAGTGCTCGAGAGAATGTAAAATGGTCTTTAAAAACTAAATTACAGCTATTTATGGTGCAAAAAACCTACTAAGTGCACCTCAGGACAAAGAATTAAATAATAAATGTATGATATGACCCCTTTAATAGTGGCTTCTGTTGTAACGAACCAGCTTTGGTTCCTCAGTCATGTGCCATCAGCATTTTCCGTGACCTTCCGCTGACATCTCCTGCACGTGCCTGGCAGGTCACGTTCTTTCTCATAGATCAGAACCAGAGGGAGCATGTCATCGACGCTTTCCGTCCCGACCTCTCCTCTGCATCTTTCCACTGCCCCGTCTCAGAGATGAATGTGGCCAGCGGGTGCCCCCTGTTCTTCCCTCTGGGGAAATTGAAGTCGCCTAAGCATGCCTATTGCAACGATGACACCATCTATATCAAGTGCGTGGTGGACATCTCCTCCTGAAGCATGAAGGCCTGGCTGTTAAAGAGGACTGGATTCCTAAGGGAGCATAACAATTCTGGATCCGGACAAAATGAATATGGAGAGCAGAGAAACAAACCCAGAAATATTTATGAACTGAAAAGTTGAAGAGTTTTGTCTCGGTTGCAGTTTGGTTCTTTGGGTACATGAATAAAGTAATATTTTTAGATTGACACCTGGCTCTTAATGTTTTAAACATTGATTCTTTCTTGTGTTATTTTGCATGTATTGCTGTTTTATTTATTATGGAATGAACTCTTCTGGATTTTGAACATCATTCTGACAGTTTTTATATTTTATATGTAATAATAAATCAAATGTGTTTACTACCTTGTTTTTTGTTTCTTCGTAGCATAGTTTATCTGCTTACTAGTACATGTCTCAACATTGCAGATAAATGTCTCTTTAAAGTTTAGAACAATCAATATTATTTGCATTTATGATTTAAATTTAAAGAAATGGTTCACCCAAATATTCACTCACCCTCAGGCTATCCAAGATGTAGATGAGTTTGTTTTTTCATGGGAACAGATTTGAAGAAATTTAGCATTCCATTACTTGCTCACCAATGGATCCTCTGCAGTGAATGGGTGCCGTCAGAATGAGAGCCCAAACAGCTGATAAAAACATCACAATAATCCACAAGTAATCCAAACCACTCCAGTCCATCAGTTAATGCCTTGTGAAGCAAAAAACTGCATGTTTATTAGAATCAAATGCATCAAAACTTTAAACTATTTCTTTTGACTCAAATATAAAGGCCTCTATCTATTGCTTTCTCCAGTGACAAAGTTAAAAGAAATATGGACAGATCAAGCACCGTTTACAGTCCAAAACAGTTTTAAACAAATATGTTAGTGGATTTTGATGTGAGAGGACAGCAAGGAATTGACTTTATCACTGCAGGAAGTGTTATTATGGATTATTATTTCTGGCCATTATTTTGGCCAGAAGCAACAGTTTAAAGTGAAAATGTCTTGATGGATTTGTTTTTTATATACATTATTTCTGACTACTGTAATTTTATTTATTCTGTGCATTATGCATAGATCCTTATCAAATATAGTATCAGATTAGCACATGAAAAGGTCAAGTGGGCTCATGAATTTTTATTTTGCATTTTTTAAAGGGGTCATATGATGCGATTTCAATTTTTCCTTTCTCTTTGGAGTGTTACAAGCTCTTGGTGCATAAAGAAGATCTGTAAAGTTGCAAACACTAAAGTCTCAAATCCAAAGAGATATTCTTTATAAAAGTTAAGAGTCAACCACGCCTACCTAAAACGGCTCGTTCTAACACACCCAATAATGTTTTTTTTAACCTTAAACCGCATAAACACATTTCATTACACCAAATACACAAAATAATGTTCTTTTTAGCAGCATTATATGACCCCTTTAAATATGTATTTTCACTATAAAGATGCATAATTATTTCACAGAACATCCGATGCTAACCACACTTTTTGCATATGAAATGTTATTTCCTTTTATATAAACAATGGAAATTTTGCTGAACGAACACATGCATGTAGTGGCTGCTGTGCAAAATCAGCTTAATGTATTCATAAAAAGTATAACATGTGTAGCTGCAGCAATATTTTTTCTCCCTTGCATTATACAACAAGTTACCTTCATGTTAACACTTACAGGAATGTGTTCCCAAAAAAAAAAAATAAAAATAAATAAATCAACCCAGTTCAGCTAGCAGTTTTTAGAGAAAAACTCCAGCTACTTTCCCCTCCTGACTTTTTTAACTTTTATTTTTAGTTCTTTTATCCCCTCCTGTCTTAAACACAATCAAATGTTCACAAAATCAAAAACTCTTCAAGCAGAATGAGAGATAAGAAAAGAACAGGTGGTTTCTCACAGTTGAAAGGGTCACTTTGTACAATATGTACAAATCAACACTGCATCAAATAACTAAATACAATTAGTCATGTGGTATTCATAGCCCCAAGTGTATGGGTAGTTTTGTTCTGCGACATAAATATTTTCATTTAGTCAGCTTGCCATGACCTTGTGATGTCTGCCTGAATCGCAATGTCCAAATTTCACAGAAATCTAAGAATATTACTGTTATGCCAGCAAGTATGACCTGTTATGTGTTAGAAATGTAACTGCATTATGACAGTTGCACTGCCAGCAAACCTTCACTGAAGCTGAAAACATATATGCTGACAGCTCACTCTCTCTGTCACATCTCTCACATTTCACTCACCAAAACCATTACACTTATTATAACTTTCATAACATTAACAAACATTATATCATGCTCAAAGTATCAGTAATGTATATCTATCTATCTATCATCTACTTAAGAGTTCTACAGTACATAGGCTATAATAGGTATAATCTATTAGCTATATGAAAGTCTAATAACTTTACTGTATCATTTCTATCTCTCTATCTATATGGATAAATCTCGTGTATAATGTCAGTTGTCCGCTTTCATACTCCAAATGAGTTTCATCTCTGGCTTGCAGTCTTTTCCCCCCTGTCATGTTGTAGGCTACTATCAGAGCATTTAATGTCTTGTTGTCATTGGAGCAGTGCTTCTTGTAGCCCCTCCTCGAGAGCGCTGCTGCTGTACTTCCTGTACGCGGATGATGATGATGATGGTCGGGTTATGTTAATTACATAAGCAAAACGTAAATGATTCGCGGGAAAAGGTGAAAAAATGGCGACGTTCACTGACTGCATTTCTGCGCCGCTTGAGCTGTAAAAACACCAGAGACTCTCTTACACATCGATTTTCATTTAGTCAGCTTGCCATGACCTTGTGATGTCTGCCTGAATCGCAATGTCCAAATTTCACAGAAATCTAAGAATATTACTGTTATGCCAGCAAGTATGACCTGTTATGTGTTAGAAATGTAACTGCATTATGACAGTTGCACTGCCAGCAAACCTTCACTGAAGCTGAAAACATATATGCTGACAGCTCACTCTCTCTGTCACATCTCTCACATTCACTCACCAAAACCATTACACTTATTATAACTTTCATAACATTAACAAACATTATATCATGCTCAAAGTAGCAGTAATGTATATCTATCTATCTATCATCTACTTAAGAGTTCTACAGTACATAGGCTATAATAGGTATAATCTATTAGCTATATGAAAGTCTAATAACTTTACTGTATCATTTCTATCTCTCTATCTATATGGATAAATCTCGTGTATAATGTCAGTTGTCCGCTTTCATACTCCAAATGAGTTTCATCTCTGGCTTGCAGTCTTTTCCCCCCTGTCATGTTGTAGGCTACTATCAGAGCATTTAATGTCTTGTTGTCATTGGAGCAGTGCTTCTTGTAGCCCCTCCTCGAGAGCGCTGCTGCTGTACTTCCTGTACGCGGATGATGATGATGATGGTCGGGTTATGTTAATTACATAAGCAAAACGTAAATGATTCGCGGGAAAAGGTGAAAAAATGGCGACGTTCACTGACTGCATTTCTGCGCCGCTTGAGCTGTAAAAACACCAGAGACTCTCTTACACATCGCGAATGGGATTTGGGGCTGCCAGAGGAGGAATAGCTGCACTTTTGGCACGTTTTACCCGCGGGATTGGAGAGAAATCAAAGCGGTAATCTCAGCGCAAGATGTGTTTGAATGTGACCCGATTCAAAATCTGCTGCATTGTAGTGCGTGACACTCACAACTGCACTGATCTGGCGAACTTAATCATGCATATGAAAGAGTAATTGTGTGTTCTGAGCATGTGTCATGAGTGCGACAACTTGTCCGAGTCCCTGAGAGAAGTTTTGGTAGTGCGCAAGTTTTCCAGCATGCCCTGATGATGTTGCATGTCTTCAAATGGGGAGGGAGTTCGTGCAAAGATTTGTAGCGGCTATGATTTATTTATATATATAAGCAACTGAATTGATAGACTCTTGAGAAGTGGACATGGCTGTTAAGTGACTTTTCATGCAGGCGTGCATACTTTTACAGTCGATGCAATAGTTTTCTGTCTTATTTTCTTTCGGAGATAAAGCACGCATGTTAATTCTTATAGTTAAGAGGAACGTTACTGTTGGAAATCGTGTGATTCTCGGCCGCCTGGGTTCGATTCATTTGAATATTTGTTAAAGGGGTCTGGTGCATGCAGCAGAAGAAAACTGGCCGAGCTCAGTAAGTCTGAAGTTCACATCCTGACGATGAGTCAACCAGCAATGTTTCTCTGCTCCCTTTTTAACTCATCAGGGTTGAGATTGAGTCAGGCAATTATTCCCCATGCGCACTGTTGTGGTTGGAATCTTTTTGCAGTTCTACATAATTCCTGCGGGGTTGTCAAAACCGTCATGCACATACAGTAACGTACATACTTGCTTACCTGAATCACTTTGAGTGATTCCCAGCAGTGGCTTTGTGGATAGGATCAACTTTGTTGAAACTACAAAACATTTAAGCCAATAAACTTCTTCAAATTAATAGATAAATAAAATAACGAATAATAATCTCCTAATTTTTACATAATTATCAGCCCTCTACGGACACCTTGGCAATTGAATCGCCATTGGCTAGTGCCTCCAACTCACACACTGGCGAGTAAAATCTGAGAATTTATTAGCAATTGGCTAATATTAGACATCATTTAGTCGCCCAGAGTGTAGATTTAGTCGCATATGCGAGTGATTTACTCGCAATGTAGAGGGTTGATTAAGAAAACCAGTTTTACCTAAAAACTAAAATGTGTGATGTGTAAAGCAGTTAGACACTTCTACTTTGATACTAGCTAGTTTTTTTTTTACTCAGTTATTGATAATATTTGTATGTTAATTCAACTCAGGGATTTGAATCTTTTGAAGCTGTTCACCTAAAAGATTTCTTCAGTGACTCACTGAGATTAGTCGTTACGGCGACAAGTTACCAGTCATTGAATCACTCAACCGACACTGATTCGTTTATTGTCCTTTATTTCTAAATTCATGTCGACAAAATCTGTTATGACACTCTAGAAGGAAGCCGTGATAGG